GACGGTCACGTCTCATCTTTACCCCCCACACTCTCAGTTCTCTCACTATATTATTTTCACATAATTGTCTCGCTTCCTCTTCTTACCATTTTGTTGTATTCAAACTATTCAACAACAAAATACTCTAGTCGATAATACAACGAGACCTCCCGCCTGACTTAATCACCAAACCCTAACCTAACTAACCAATGTAACAAAATTAAACCTAAGCTAATTGAAAAAAATAACCTAGCCTAACTAACCACAGCCAACAACCCACCTACACCCCAAAGGCAAAGTATCTGTTAGAGCACAAGGACATAATAATTCCCCCACAGTGCCATCAAAACCAACCAAACAGCAGTGAAACCTTAAATATGACCATATCATCCACTGTTGGGCACACACCCCTACCCTCAGGTGCTCTCCTCCCAATGTCCTCATAACTCCCGCATTTGTCAGTGTTTTTACAGCTGTTAGTAGTGTTAATCCGTGAGATGTTGCTGGCTGTGCCCTTAACTACGTGATAACTTCAGATTGTGTGTGTTTTTATTAGGGGATTGTGTTGAGTTAATCGTCTCAAACTCAGAATATTGATCATCTATTAACGTCATGATGAAATGTTGGTGCTATGTTTTGACCGGCGTTTGTGTGCCGTTGAGATAAACTAATGACGTCACTATTGTTTACCGATGGTTCTATGGGCGTTTGTGTGCTGGTGGAGATAAACTAATAGCCGCCACTATTGTTTACAGATGGTTTTCCATGGGTGTTTGTGTGTTGGTAGAGTACCCATGAGTAATGACGTCATTCAACACAGATGGTTCTGTGGAATAATGTGATAAAAAATGTCGATTTACACACTCACTCACTCGCTCCCTATTTCCGGTCGCCCCATAACACAAACTATGTTAAGGCAATAGTTAAACACTGGAAATTAGTTCTCCTTAATTATCAACTTAGTTACGGACCTGTTGGTGAGAAGCCCGGGCACTCTCCTTCGCCCTTAAGCTCAAGCTGTGTTTCTGGTGCCCACAACCTAGAACTTAAATAACAAAAACATATATTAGGGCAATACAGTTTTCGGCGACCACTAACATCCTCAGCACTGGTGGAGTACTGGAGAGGAGAGACGAAATACATTGGTCACCAAAATGTTGTGAAGCTGAAACTTGGGTTCGATTCACACAAAGGAAACGGATCCTTGATGATTTGCCACTGCAGCTTGTTTCGCAGGCTTATCTACCCTAATGCTTTCGCGGGGTAATGAGATTAGGTTAGAGTTAGGTTAGGTTGGGTTAAGTTGGATTGGGTTGGGTTGGGATTAGGTTAGGTTAGGTTTAGTTGGGATTGGGTTAGGTTAGATTAGCTTAGGGTTATGTTAAGTTAGGTTAGAATAGGTTTGGTTAGGTTAAACTAGATTATTTTACCTTCAATTGTGGGTAGTATTATACTATTATAAGTGATGTTACCTGGTCACGTATCGTTTTATTACCTTCCAGTATAATTGGTATTACCTGCTGGTACAGTGGTACTACCTGCTGGTATCAAGTGGTATTACTTGCTTTCATTAAAATTGAGTATTACCTCTGGTATGGTGGTATTACCTGCGTATAATTAGTATTACCTGCTGGTATAGTGGTGTTACCTGCTGGTATAGTAGTATTACTTGCTGGTGTAGTGTTATTACCATATTTAGTATAGTGGTATTACCTGCTGGGTATAATTGGTGTATTGCCTGCTGGTATGATGGTACTACCTGCTGAATAGTGGTATTACTTGCTGGTCTAGTGTTGTACACTCCCAGTATGGTGGTATTACCTGCTCGTATAGTGGTACCTGCTGGTATGAGTGGTATTACCTGCTCGTATAGTGGTATTACCTGCTGGGCATAGTGGTACTACCTGCTGGTATGGTGGTATTACCCTGCTTTTGGTCTAGTGTTATTGCCTGCTGGTACAGAGTGGTATTACCTGCTCGTATAGTGGTATTACCTGCTGGTATAGTGAGTATTACTTGCTAGTATAGTGTATTACTGCTGGTATAGGTTTTGTATTATCACTTTGGTATTATTTATCATTAAAATATATATATATATATATTTCCATTAGCCCCAATAACACGCGGACTACATACAATCAACACCTCAACCCACCGGGATTCGAACCCACGACCTGCTATTTATGACGGCTGATGAACGCTAACCGCTGGACCACCAGGATACTGAAAAGCAGTCTAGACTTTGTTATATTTCACAAAGCCTGTTCAACGAGCTTATGGCGCCAGGTAGTCCCGGTATTAAATTCACGGCGCCGCCAGAAGCTCGTTAAGGCTGAAACTTTAATGGCTAACAAAGTCCTGGGACAATTTTAATGTCCTGATAATCAACAATTAGCCATTCTGATCTGATCTTGAACTGGTGGAGCGTGAGTTCGAATCCTGTGAGTGAGTGTTGATATATATATATATATATTAAGAAATTTCGATGTGATATTTGAGACATTAGAAGAACGAAATATTGATCTGCCAGAGACAGGAAAAAGGCATCAGTAAAGCCCAAGCTGAGACACTTAAGCCTCATGGCAGGCCAAATAAGCTACAGCAAGGCCCATAAGCGCGGTGGGAAGCATTTTGAACTAGGCCTATATAAAAATTAAATATGCTTTATCCGAATTAATGTAGACACGATTCATGAAGTTAAGGGACAATTATTAAATTAGAGATTAGTATGGATAGTTCTCAGTCTAAATATGCTTTCTGTGGCCAAAAGGCTATTCTATGTGCAAGGAAAGATGACGTCATTGGGTGAGGCAGGCTGCCTTGAGGACGTGCCGACTCTGACTGGGCAGCAATACCGTGCGGGCGCTTGGACGAACGTCTCTGCCGAGGAAAACGACCGCCAGGCCTCGTCCTTTGTGCGTACGTCCATCAGTGTTGCAAGTAAGTTTTATTCGACCTCAGACGGTGTTTAGATAGGCGGAGAAAGTTAACAATAGTAACAGAGGGTTCTCTTGCAGGGGTTTTAAGGAACCCATGCGGTTCAGTCACTGGATAGCCGTCGTTTAAGCTGGGACACAGAAGGTGAACAGTGTTCATGACAGCTAACTACGTGGAACCAGCATCTTGCTTTTCAGTGAGTCGTTCTGGGTCATGAAAATCCCTTTGGATTCATACAACACAAACATCTCTTCAGTCAGTTCGTAGAAACTCTTACTAACGGGAAATAGGAGCCCTCCTCAGCTGGGCAGTTCACCTGCTGACAATCCTCTCTTCCTTTTCATACTGGATGTACAGGGAGTAAAACTAGGTGCAGCCTGGTGAAAGGAAAGGTCTTTACTGAGACCAGAGTCTAGTGGTGCCAGAAAACATTTTGTCTCCTTAGTAGCAAATTAATAACTGAGACATTTGTCTCCCTGATATTGGTGTATGTGATTGAATTAACCTAGTCCAGGTGTGCCAATCCAACGCTCCTCCTTGGTTGATTACACGTGGGATATGGGGTTCTTCTTCAAGGTTGATGGAAAGCAGTAACACCTTAAGTATGGAAATTAATACTCTGAGCATATGTGAAGCATGTACGGGTGATGGTGGTAAAGGTGTGAGTTAGATGACCAAGTCCGGGTGTGAGATCAACATTCCTCATGGTTGATTGCACGTGGGACATATGAGTTCTCTCCAAGTTGCTTGATGGAAGCATAGTACATAAAGTACTGGTGCATTCGGAACCTATGTGTAGAAACATGTTACGGGTGTTGGTGGAGAAAAACGTTCATGACGCCTGAAATCTAGAGGTAATGAAAAAAAAAACAGTAGCACCCGCCTGATGGGTCATGAGGTGATTTTTCTCAGATTCTTGTAAATGCCTGCCTTGGCGGGTAAGTAATTAACCTTCGGGTTCTAGGACGATTAGGATTATATAGTATTTTGTGGGTCACTGAACAGGCTATGAGTGATCCATGTTCTTGTGTAGAATATTGGAAATCAGGATTTCTATTTCTTAGTAGTTGCTATTATTTTTGTCGGATGCCTTAAAAGGCATGTTCATTAGTACAAGTGATATTTTTTTTAATATTTTATATACCACTAAGCGATATAAGATATCGAAGGAATTATTTCAGATGAGATCCTCCACGTTCTGGTAAGAGGAGTAGTACTACTGCCTTAGTAGTCTTCTCATACTGCATTTAATATTTCTTAAAAATTTGATGTCATGTATAACTCAAAAACCCCATTACTAATCTGGGGTGAGATTATTATTTGCGACCGATTACACACAGTAGGACGCCACCCTCCGGGCTCCACATTGTCTCACTGTAATTGCATTAGATAGACCACATTTTTGGTTTTGCCTTTGGCAACAGAAATATGTACAGATTTTTGCCAGTTCCTCTGGAGCATCCAACATAGACTATCCATGAGAAGCAAGAAACGCCAAAA